TTCCATTACCGATTTCTCGCTGGAGCTTCCGCGGCTCCGCCTCGAGGAGCGGCTGGCCGTTATGCAATCGATGGTGGAGGCCAACGCCCCGTCGGGCCGCGAGGCTATTTGGCGAAAGTTCCAAAAATTCGCCCACATGTGCACCGCCCGCGGATGGCGGGCCCTCCCGACCTCGCCCGAGATGCTCTACGCCTTCGTGCTCTTTTTAAAGGCCGAGGGCCGGGTATCCGTGGGCTCGGCCGGGGGCTACCTCTCCGCCATCTCTACGGTCAGTGCGTGGGCGGGCCTGGTGGGGGGCTCCGCCCATGACGCCATTACTGCCCGCCTCTTGCGGGCCTGGCGCGTCAACGCCCCTCCGGCCGCCTACCGCGACTCTGTCCTCGCTTTTCCGGCGGAGGACCTCTTCCGCTTGGCTGCCCTCGCCCTGGCCGAGCCCAATCCTTATCGGGTTCGGCCCTTCGTGTCCCTCATCCTGGACACGGTTTTCTCTTCGTGGGCGGACTCCGGCTACCATATTCTGCTGGACGACATCTGGCTCGGCAACCCCGCGGGCGACTCCACGGCGTCCTGCCCCACGCATCTGTTCTTTCGGGAGCGGCGCCACAAGTCGAAGTCCACTCGGGCCCTTCTCTGGCGCATCCGGGCCTTCGACTACCGCGGCTTCCCCGACCTGGCTCGGGTCGTCCGTCATTGGGTCCGCCTGCGCGATGTCTGCCGCGCCCAGCACCTTCCTGGCCGCCGCGGCCACATTGAGTTCTTCTACGGCCTTCCTTCTGATGCCCACCCCCCTTCGGCCCGCTCTGTTCAGACCTGGTTCCTCGAGGCCGCCCGCCACCTCACTGCGGCGGGGCAGGCCTACCGCCACCACTGCGTGCGGCGTACGGGGGCGTCCTCCGCCTTTGCCGTACTGGTGCCTGAGGCCCAGGTTCGTAATTGGGGGTGGTGGGCCCCGGGGTCCGCGGCTTTGTGGAAGTATGTGGATTTGTAGCAGCGGCCTACTGAGTTTGACTACCGCCTTTTTGGCTAGATGCTTGTCGCCGCTGACTCCCTTCGTGACGAGATTCGTGACATCTTCTCCGCGCCGTCTCCTCCTCCTGTCCCGTCGCCTTGATGGGGGCCTCTTCGTTCCCCCATCCTTTCCGGCCCTGTACTTTGCTCGCGCTTGCCGTCAGGGCCGTATTGTTTGGAGAGGGGCACTCTTTGGCTTGCGGGTGACATACCCGGGTTCTTGAACTGCATGGACAAGCTGTATTGGTGGGTTGGTGACGGATAGGTGTTTGTTGGAGTTGGATCAGGTGGACATTTTGTCACGGTTTGTGACGTTTTCCTGAATATGTAATTATAATTACATGTTCAGCCTGCCATTGGGCGGGAAGATCGCAGGGCTGTACCGTAAGGGATGGTTTCGTCCAGTAAACTAGTTTACGGGAGGCCCGAAGATGGGCGGGCGAAAAAATTGCTACCCGACAGTGTTCTGTCAGCAGGGCGCCCAGTTTGCGCGGGAACATGCTGCTGCTGGGGCCCCAAGGCAGGCAACGGTCCTTGGGGCCGGGTTTCGGCTCGTTCGGGAACTGTTTGGCGGTGCCGAGGCCTAAGGAGGCGACGCGCCATCAGACTGCACTTTGTTTTCTCCCCGCCCGCCCTGTCCTTGGGTTTTGTTGGGATTGTTTTTTGATATTGTTGAAACTTCGCTCGAGATGAACATTTGGGACCGGAAAAGGCACTCTTTGGCTTGCGGGTGACATACCCGGGTTCTTGAACTGCATGGACAAGCTGTATTGGTGGGTTGGTGACGGATAGGTGTTTGTTGGAGTTGGATCAGGTGGACATTTTGTCACGGTTTGTGACGTTTTCCTGAATATGTAATTATAATTACATGTTCAGCCTGCCATTGGGCGGGAAGATCGCAGGGCTGTACCGTAAGATTTTGTTACGCTGAGCGTCAATTTGACAAATCTTACACCATCCCCCCAGCGTCAATCTTTATGTCGAAGCCAGAATGGCTCAGCGGCACTACGTGATGGTGTGGTGCAAATTTATTGTGTCTCGAAGAAAGAACATGGCCCAAACTACAGCAATTCTAGTGGCCTGAAAAGTGAGATGAAAAAAGGCATGGCAGACGATGAGGGGCAGTTTTGAAGCTCGCCAATAGAGATTTTGCAGGGCTCTTCGCTAAGGCTGATTAGCAAAGGGAAGTTTTGAGACAAGTCATGAGTTTCTTGCCACTTTTCAGCAGCTTTTTGGGTATCTTCCAAGCTCACGTCGATTTTGTTACAGTTACATAATCTCTTAGCGTCACAGGCCTGTCTTCGCCCCCACCCCGTTAGCGTCAAACTGACGCTAAGCATAACAATTTCGACATAGTGTCTTTTCTTAATACACATAATAAGTTCAAACACACATTATGTTCGTACATGCACGTACATGTGCAAGCAAGCGAAACCGAAGCGAGTGCATGAGCTCTGTACACGCTCACTGTCCGCTGTGCAGCGTACAGAGCCCACAGCGAAGACACGGGCAGACGCAGGGTGTCAGCACCAAGGACAATGGTTTCCTTCGATCGACAAAAGATGGGGCGCCCAGCAAACGAAGCCAACATATCAGAAAAGACCGACAATGACTGCATTGAAAGTGGGAAGGCACCTGCAGACCTATCTGCACAAGGACCCGGCGGGATCGCAATAAACAGGCAGAAAATTGCGTAACAGAATTGAAGTTCTCATTCATGACTTTCGCGCCGGCGAAGAGTGACGGGAAACGAACACCGTTTCCGTTGTTGCTGTTGAATCCGCTGGTGAGCATACAGATCTTGTGGCATGGGCTCAAGGTGTAGAGGTGATAGGAGAGAGCTAAGGCATTGACCTCACTGCCTCGAATGCCATTGACCTTTGGCATGATATGCCCAAGGGACCAGCGGCGGCACACGCCCTCATGATGGAGAGTGTTGGACGCTGCAACCTGAGAATTCGTCGACAAATCTCTGATTACAAATGCGCAGAATTCTGGAACCAATTGGTGGGCCCCACTTGCCACCGGACAGAATCACGCGGAACGTTGATGTTCTGTAGTCGGGCCCGTGTGGTCAGCTGGAACGTCGTGTGCTGTTCCGATGGCTGAATGATGGACAACGGGATGCTAAAGGTCATTGTACTCAAGAGATTCTCTGCGTTTGCGCCAGTTGAGAGCTAGCGCCACGTGAGCGGTGATGGGACTCTGCAGCCGTGCAAAAGCGTGGAATGGAAGTGGAAAGGCCACTGCATCCGCATACGGGAGAGAACGTCGCTTGTGAAAAGAACACTGTGCATGCTGCTGAAATTCTCATGCCACACCCGCGTGAACTTCCTAAAGAAATTGGCGACACGTTGTTCCAGTCTCTGTGGGTCCTATAATGTGGCGTCGCCTCCAGAATTTCACCTGCCCACTTTCTACTGCTCCAATCTAATGTTGATACTCAATTCGACCAAAATTTGGCCGTGTTATTCATTGATATGATATGTGGAAACTGGAACAGTCGACCGACCCCAATGGTCGCGAAATATGAGTTCGAGTCTCCGAAGACAGAAACAAATCTAAGGCCATGCAACTGAGGGCGGTCAAATGATACGCATAGGGTTGGGGCATCGCAGCTTTCGCCATATGATTCATCCAGCGAAACGGCAGCGAAACCGCAGTACCCCAACCCTGTGCGCATCGGTTCATCCCCCTCACTTGCATCGACTGCGTGGGCGTTTTCGGCTGCGTGCTGTTGCAGGAACGGCAGCCACACACATCACGGGTACCCCAGGTCATCTCAATTTTCATTTTGGTAATCTGCCTATGTCAAAAACGTTCGTGCTTGTAAAACCCCCCACCGGCTTTTTACATGCAGGCAGTACCTGTGACAGTATCACTGACTGCAGTCAAGTCGGACCATTTCCTTCCCCGCGCGATACTGCCTCTTCCCAAGCACAGTGCACGCGGAGTCTCACGACACGCCAACAGATTGATAGACAGGTGGCAATTTCCGGCTCAAGAAATGAAGGCCTGGGACACAAGAGGAAAAAATCGCCCATCATTTCCCGGCCCTCCAAACGCCGAAGACTTGTGTATGAAATACTCATTTGGGTTCGGGAAACGCCAATAACTACTGCTTCCCCAAAGTTTCCAGTTTCCCACGACAAATAACAGTTTGCACATTTTTCACGAGGTTTTGATTAAATCAAAAAATATTTGTTGTCACGAGGTGTTGATTAAATCAACAAAATATTAGTCATGGGGTGGGTAAAGTGCGAACCTGGAAACTTTTGCAGTCCAGGCGCCGTGCAGATGCCCAGTGACGAATTATCAGGTAGAAGCTCCCCGCTCTCCCCCGCTTCATTATTCCTCAGTTCCCACTCGACAAACAACTTCGGCTTTGCATAGTGGTCCCGCCCATCGAATCGGATGCGGCTGCTGGGAGGGGCGCCTCCCTGACAAGGAAAGCCGCGCGGGGGCGGGGGCCATGGCGCCTCCGGCGCGGGGAGGCTACAGCTCGAACGTGAACCTCGTGCTCCTGTTCGCCAGCGCCCTCGCGTGCCTCTTCGTGGCCGGCAGGTGCGCCTCCCCGCCCACTCCCTGGGAGCACGCGCGGATCCCGTCCGATGCAGATTATCGTTCGTTGGTTCTGGCGATTAGGGCCCGTTTTCTTTGCGCTTTGGTGGGCGGGTGGGGCGGCATCGCGCCCTTTTGGGGCTACGTGCGGCGTGATTGGCTCTGTGTGTGAGCCATGTGGATGCTGAACGACGATGCAAAGCAACGCGGTCCTGGGTCGCTCTTGGATTTCGGTGCCTTTCTGGTGTTCGACAGTGCCCTTGTGCCCAGTTGGCGGGCTCCTGAAGCGTGAGCTCTTCGGACGCTCAGCCACCCGCGGATTGTGTTTGTTCCCGTTGCGCTCACACAGTCGGCCCTTAAGGAATCCTTTCGGCTGCGTATGTGCTGAACTGCAAGCAATGTGACCGCCCGAGCATGTGTCTGGCGAGGAACCTTGTGTGCGTCGCTCCAACCGGTTGGAGGCGCTCATTGAGAGTAATGGCGCTTGGGTGGCTTCTGGTGCAGGCTGTGGTGGTACTCGCGGGAGGTCGTTCTTCTTGTAAGCACCCAGCCGGCTTTCCTTTGAGAAACATTTACGTCTCGTGGGATCTAGCCTCAAGGCAACTGTTGGGCATAGGCCTTGGGGCCAAGGACCGAAGAGCTCCATCCCCATTTAAGTTGTTTCACTTTCTGGTCGTCACATGACTTTCCGTAAGGCCGGTGCAGGCCTGATTGGTGGCGGTTGTGGGCTCAAACCGGTTTGAATGAAGCAACACGTCTCTATGATTTCTGCTGGCAGTCATCTCGAATGAAAGCCACATATTTGGCCACATATTTGGCCACAGGTTGAAGTTGAATGGCATTTGTGCAGAGACATCTGCTGCCAAGAGCAGTGCACAGTCAAGTAACAATTTGCTGTGCATAATTTGAGCTCCTGGCCACATTTGGATGGAAGCAGGCATGTTTCTTGAGCTCATTGTTGTGCATGTTGCGTCAGACAATGCTGGATTGCCAACAATGATCAATGGAATGATTCAGTTGAAAAGTAGTCTTTGCAAACAAAGTTGTTTGGTGCATTTGCTACCTGCTCATTGCCTTCAAGGGAAGTTTCACAACAGCAATCTATCACAATAGAATGCTGCTGCATATCAGTGTTGTTAAGTTTGTCGTTGAAGCTCATGGCAGGTTGTTGAAAACATGTGATTCTGGCTTTGCCTTTCCTGCAGGAAAGAGATGTTGAAATCCTCCAGGCGAAACTCCAGGGCTCTGATGCAGCTTCAGCTTTGGCTGGCGGCAAACTTGATTGTGGTGACCTTGGGTAATGATTGCATATCTGTGTGCATTTCGTACACGAAACAGGACCAGCTTTCCATCAGTGCCAGACAGTTTCTGTTCATTTGTAATGGTAGCTCCCTACAAAGGCAGTCGCAGCATTCCTTGTATGGATTTTGTGTGCCATGGACCCTTTTGCATTGCAAGCTGCTAGGTTGCGATGAAGCAGGGCCTGCCAGGTGTTTTCTGGTTATGCAGCAGTGACAAGAGCACCTCAAATATGGTCACTGCCTGTGTGGCACAGCCTTGCTGCCAGTACGCACTCCCCTTCGAACAGTCATCTCACTGTCCACCAGAGAACCACATTGGGAAGAGAGACTGCCGGACATGCTTTGGTTAGGTTTGGTTATCAGCGAACTAGCTCAGACTTTTGTGCAGCAGCAGTGTCATTGTTTGATGCGTTGTCAATGCGCAACTGTGCATCAACCGATTCCAGATATGTCTGGACATTCGTTGGCCAAGTAGATTTCTTCCAGGTCGCAACTCAGAACAGAAGGATTGCAAGATTTCCACCATGAACCCCCCCATGAAACAATGTAGTTGCCCTGTACCCTCACGCCGTTCCCCAGGGAATGGGCTGGTGGCTGTTGCCGATGACTGTCTGAGTTGGCAGAGAGGGATGTGTGACACACAAATTTGCACCCCATTCACCAGTATGAACTGTGGTGGACTCTTGCCCATGCTGTGGATCATGATGCTGACTGTTGCGCTGACCGTTCCAGCTCGGTCCACGCTCAGTCACTCCCAGGCACGGGAAGCGAGGCCGTAAGCAGGTGCATTACAAGACAAGCACTTCAACCTAAACAATGTTTACAGGAAATGTCCCCAGTCGGTAATAACCATTCCCATGCTCACCATGTTTTTATCATCGTGTTCACCTTGTCTGGTCACACCGTATTTAACACCATTCCCCGGATAATCACTTGCCATGGTTTCCCCGCCCTCACACTGACAATTGCAAAAAAGTGTGCTGAAGTGTGGAGTTGAGATACACTGTCCAGGTTGTGATCCAGCGGCAGTCGATTCTGAAAGAGAATGACTTTCCGCTGCTGGATATGAAGTAGTGTTGTGCTGCAGTTTGCAGTTGCAAGTATGCCTCTGTTTGCCTGTCCATTCTTGCATACGTCAAAAGGTACTGGACAGTGACACATCTACTATCTAGTCTGCTTGCTGAGATTGTAGGCATTCTGGCTTTGGGGGTTTTGGGCAAGAGCACATTGACTACTACAGAGGCTGTGGTTTCAGCAGAAGGACTGCAGCACCAGTTGGATCCCTGGGATGGCGTTAGGTTTACATCTGACAAGTTGTTGATGGGCATACTTCATCTGTGCTGTGCAGGCCTGGCCTTTCTGGCCTCCATTTCAACGTGAGACAGAATGCTGCCCCAGTGGTGCCTCCAGGCTTGGTGGGCCCCATGGTTGAGGATGAGGCGATTGACACAGGTGTGCATGCTGTCATTGATTCTTGCAAAAGCAAGCCACGTCCATCAACCAATCAAGATTCCCAAAGTGCATCAACTGCAGGTGCTGCTGTGCCTGTAGTACTGTGAAGCAGAAAGCCTTGCATGCGATTTGGAACAATTCTGGACTCAAAATATAGTATGAAGGCATCTATCAAGCAGTGTCCATGATTTCTGCAATACGTATCCCTGGCTGTCTTTGCCAAAACATGGCAGGTCACTGAAAGGGCAGTGGTTCTTTAAATCGCAGCAACCATTGCCACGAACCATTGCAAACGCAACCATAACATGTTTCCACCCCTCTGTGGCAAAAGAACGCCTGGTGCACTGTAAAAGATGCAGATATTTGAGGACAAGTGCAAAATTGTGAGCAACCAACAGAAATCAATTTTGATCAGCAGGGCATGTCAAACGAAACAAACGAAACAGCAAGGCCACCTATTTACCTGTTGTGGTTTTGATGAAACTGATTGAGGTTTTGCACCAGTGTGGAGTAGACAAGGTCAGATGTTGTCCCCTGTAGCTCAAATGCATCTCGCATATGTCTACACAGGAAGTCAACTATTGAACATTCCAACAGCCTTGAACTCCAATTTGAATTCATTTCATATTACCTATGCATTCTCAAGACAAAATGGTTCCCCCAACATCAGATTACATGCCTCACTGATTTTGCTCAAGTTCACAAGTGTGCATGGCCTGGAATATTAATGTGTAAGCGGACATTTGCTGTGGGCATTTCATGCATATCCATATTCTTGCAGTTGCAGATGTTCTCCAGGAGCCCACATTTACTGGGACAGGAAAGTGGTAATCCAATTGTTATGCAATTGGTGCAGTGACTGATGATGGTGAAGGAAGAGAAGCCCCTCTGCTGGGGCAGTTGGATGGAGTCCGAGATGGGTATGTATATGGATGGGCTTGCCAACGAGCCAAGGTGTCAACAGCTCTAAAGGTCAGTACTTATTGCCTGCGAAGTCTCCTGTCAACATAAGGTCAACAATCGGACAGCACATCTCACAATGGCCATCTGCTTCCAGAGCAAGACTCTCCTGTACTCTTTCTTTCCTTTGATTGCATTCAGTACATTACTGCACAAAGCCTTTTGCTAAAGTTGTTGCCAATTGATGCATGTGTTACTGCTGATGGTGTTTGGTCCCGATGACACTCTGGTGTTGTTCGTCCTCATCACTAGCAGAGCAAGGCGCTGGATGTTGTTGTCTGTCTTGGCGACATATATGAGAAAATTGAGGAGTGTTTTGGCTGGGAATCTCTTGCTGTAGTGGGAATGGCCAATTGCAATTGGGGGGGGTGGGGGGGGGCGCTCCTCAGTGGACCAACCTGCAGTTGGACAGAAAATGAAGATATCATTTAAGACACGTGTGTGTTGCAGAAATGGAAAATTTCATGCAATGGACAAACGCCGGCTGTGCAACAGATTGTGTGAGACTCTCCTCCATACTCTAAAAGATCATGCACAAGTTACTGTTTCCAACAGGATCTCAGAGCAGCATGACATGCTCTCACGTGGACTTAAGGAAGCAGAGTTATGTGGTAGCTGCACGTAGCGGGTGGTTTTTGTGCGCAGGTGGTTCTGTACATCAACGATGTGCAAGTGGGCATGGTACATGCTGACAAACCGGCACCACACAGCATTGTCAATCGCATTTGCACTGGGCCAGTATCTGTGGAGATGCACCTTCAGCCTGCAAGAAATGTGGCCTTCAGGTTCAAAATGCCTCGATTGCCTGATGGGCTTTATCAGGTGGGCCCTGTCTGCATTCTGTGTGCCACTGAGACAGTGCAGGCAACAGCGCACAATGTCAAATCCCTTGATTCGTTTGCCTGCAGTGGGTGAGCCAGTGCCCTTGATACTTGAATGTGATGATGGGTATATGATGGATGCCATCAGCACTTGATTGTGATGTGTTGCACATGATGAATATCAATAGCATTGCTTGTTCCCGCTGTCTCCCAAACTAGGGTGTCATCGAATCGATCAAGATTCTGGCTGCAACGATGCTTCAGCACCAATGGTCCAGGCATCTGCAAGTCTGCAAAGCACAGTGCACCAAGAACTCTAACTGTGTGCACATCAGCAACCCAAGAAAAGTAGACTTCTGCAGAGAAAGGGGTCCCTGCATGGGGGCAAAACTCAAGCAATCTCACTGCAAGCAGATTGCCTAGTTCTGCTATCCCTGGAGGTGTTCAGGAGGTCGCAACTGCTAGAGATGCTCATGCACCTCTGATTCTGGGATTGAGAGTTTCAAGCAGATATCATTTAGATTTGCACACAAAATATCCAGCTCAGATCCTGTGCTGCTGTAGTAACTATGGTGCTAACTGTGGGGGTGCCATGCCAGCTGCGTGCCTTCGCCTATCACCCTGATGGCCGGTGGAGGAAGGAGCTGTACATGTCACCCCTCTCTTTCTATGAATCAGATGCACGTCCTGACCTGGCTGAGGCGATCAGAAGAAAAGATGACATCATTCGAGCTAGGAATGCTCAAGTGGCATCGTTGTATGAAGAATTGAACACCAGAGGGGCTTGGGAGGTGGGGCTGGGCTGGCAGACATTGCTTCTATGGTGGAAGAGCACTTCTGGCAATTCCTATGCCAGGGCAGACAACGTCCATGAGCACTTCAGCTGACGTTTGCTCGCCCTGATTGACAGTTCTGCGTGCCTTGCAAGGAATGAGCCAAATAGGAAATATGCCTGAAAGGGAATTCGTGTACTCAGGGTTTTTCTCTCTGATATACTTGTTGGCAAGCCACTGTACATTCAGGTTTTATTCATTGCTGAGAAAGGCAGTGCTGAATCGGTTGCAGTCTCATTCTGCCAGTGCAACACGGTGTCTGTCCTTTACTGTCACTGGTTGTGTGTGCATTCCCCATGAACACAAACGAGAATATTGTGGACAGTACTTCACTACTTGCCACACTTGTGCTCTGAAAATCACAGCAGCGGACGTGCACATCGCCTTCTGAGTACCTGGACTTGTACATCTGATACATTGCCCACATCAAAAGAAATGTACAAACACCAGACTGCACTTGGGATTGGCAAGAATTTGTGGTCTCAAGGTGTTTCAAATTCTGTTTGTGCATGTCGGAATTCGATGTTCATACTCTGGTGCGGTGGTCTGGGAGATGAATGAGAACCTTTTCAGGCGATTGGAGTAAAGGATGTGGACGTATTTAGATGTCTACTAGCACACATTTCTGGTCTTGGTAATCCATGCAGTCTGATTGTCACAAGCAACAATCGCAACACCCATACATATTGATTGTGATGCAGTATTGTAGAATAGAAAGTGATGCACATGGCACCTGTCGTAGGTGTGTCACATTGCTCCAGTCCCCTTTCTACTTGCCTTTCCACTCAATGCTTGTTGTGCTCAGTTGCTTCTGCCACAGAACAGTGCAGCAGAGTGCATGAAGTGACTGAGAATGGTATTTGTTGGCTGTTGAGGATTGTGAACTTGTGAAATTCTAGGACTGATACACCCAATTCGTGCATGTGCCTGCAGTCTGTCACAAGCGAGCCAAGGGTTCGAACGTTTGCCCCTAAACAAGGCCAGGACTCTGTTCCCCGACTCTTAGTGTTCATTGGCGTCAATTCGGTGAGGGGGCACTCAATTGCAGGGAGGGTTCCTACTGCATTGTTCCTATCGACTGTTGCCAATCTTCGGGGAGTGAAGACAAACAAAGCTGACACTTGAGAACTAAGGTTCATGAAGAGCTGTGGATTGGGTTCGAGAATGCAGCAATGGTGGCGTTGGCATTGATCAAAGTACCTCAACATCCTTCCTGAACAGCTTGGCCCCGAAATTCAACACACAAACGAGACATTTGTCGCCCTGTACAAGCTGGAACACATTCTGTCAGTACCAAGAAATGCAGCCCTCCTGAGTCATCCATTCTTTCTTGCAGGACCCCGGAGACAAGCATCATCGCAACTTTCTCCGTGCGACTTGGATGAAGAATGAGACTGCCCTTAGCGAAATGGGCGTTGCTGCGAAATTCATAGTGGGGAAGAGGTGCGTGATCGGTTGCCTCTGCACTGTACACTGGAACGAAGCAGTGTGCATTGACATGTTGTGCCATGCTTTGCATGTCCTGGCATCCAATTGGTGCTGTGAACTCCTTCCCCATAAGTTGCATGCCAGTCAGTGGTCGTAGTTGGTTTTACCCCGAACTGCAGCACCAGCTGATACGTCCAGTCAGACAGTTTTCAGCAAAGGGGCTTTGAAGATTTCAATTATGTCGAATTTTGGGTAATCAGATTCAAGTAAATTGTTGAATTCAATTTTATACTCATAGAATGACAATTGAAGTTGAATTCAGTATATTATTCACACGGCCTTGCTCAGTTGTTGAGCACTGTTAGGACTTACACGGTATTAAGCCAGTGTGGTATGCTAGTCAGCATTTTGCAAAGCATTTTTCTGTTTTAATGGAGCTCAGTTGATGCCAGTTGCATCATCAGTTTGCACACCTTCAAATATTGTCCCAAATTGGATGCCTTGGGGCCATGAAGGTATAAAATGAGTCCCATTCTCTTAGGGCAAGTTGCATCCAGCCCAATGCTTGAGACGCTCAAACGGTCAAAAATGTATCATGTATGCAAATGTACCATCACTAACTTCTTGTTATGGTGGTCAGCTTCTCAGTACAGCGTTAAATGATAGTGCTTGGAATGATGCTCTAAGTGTAATTTTGAGCATCAATGTCTGCGCCCTCTGCTGCCTGCAGCGATTGGCTACCAGAGAAGGAAGTCACAGAGCTGGCTGACGAAATGGCGGAGCATGGCGACATGGTGACTGTTGACATAAAGGGGTATGAGGATGCTGCAAAGAAGATACTGGCCTTCTACCGGTCCGTGGCGCTCACCACAGACGCCGACTACTATTTCAAGGTTGGTGCCCCCTGGAAGGAATCTGCCAGAAGGGGTGGGGTGGGGTGGGGTGGGATGGTAGGGGGCTGCACAGGGGTCTCTACTTGCAGGCCGGCCAAACGCGTGCAGATGTACACACGTGACTTTGTCAGGTTGCCACTCATGGCATATGACATACGATTGGTGTACAGCGTATGGTTTACGTGCGACTGCCATGCAGTTTTCTGCAGTGTGGGGTGATTTTAGTGTGAACCAGCAAGATGCGAATGTGTGGTTTCCAGTTTCCCCTGACGGCATCGCCGCATTGCTGTCCTTTGGGCTGAGAGATAGCCTGCATGCATGAAGCAAAGAGGATGTCGTTGCACGATTCATGTTGGCTTGTGGGCAGTTGCCCATCTGCGGAATGTTTCATGCTCACGCCCTTCCTGTCGTGTCATTGCAGGTCGAAAAAGACGTCGTGGTGAACATCGGCAACCTCGTGGACTACTTGACGCCAACCCGCGACCGGGGAAACTTGTTCATGGTGAGAACATGGCCCTGTGGTCGCCATGGCACAGTGGGAACGCGTTTGTGGATTTGCAGTTGCCATGCGAGACGCAGCACGCCGAGCATGCCATTGGCAAAGGGTCTGTGTGAGTGCAGGAGTCTGTGAAACTGCAGGCTTCGAGCTGTTTGTTCTGTGGCTCGGGGGGTAATGACTGCTGAAGAGACTGCAGTTTCACAACAGCAATTACATGGCGAGTCGGATGCCGTTGGAAAGGATCGCCGGTGGCTTTGGCCCCTGGTGAAGCGGAAGCACTGGTGAGGACAGCACCAGAAATATGGCCGAGATTGCCCCATGGGTATTTCGCATTCGGTGATATTATGGGCATGATATGCATATCGGATGTGTGCTTGGGCGCCAGCTGCCTTCACACCATTCTCTTTGGATCAAGAACAAACAATTCGTGAAGCCTTGGGGATGGCTGCAGTTGTGAATTGGAAGTCGCTCTTAAGAACGCCTGTCTACTTGAAGTATTCGTTTCTGGACGTTCACTAGAACACCTGTCAAGGCACTCGTCTGCATAGAACATGACATTGCGGCACATTGCTGTGGCGCGAATGTGGTGCGCAATGGACCCATCTAGCCCAACCAGAGCAAGTTTTAGCATTTTGACACCCTTGGGAAGCGGGCTATAGGCGGCCTAACTTGTTCTTTTAACCACTGTGAGAGTTTGGGCACGTGGCCTCTAAGTGATGTCCATGTCAGGGACACGCCAAAGTGGCGTTCACTTCAGATTCGACCTCAGCTGTGCAGTGCTTCCTTACGCTGGAACCCTTGGCTTGAAAAGCAGAAAGCGCAAGGTGTGTTTTCACATTGGCATGTACCCCTTTATGTACCCTTTTACGAATGTGATGTCCATTTCGGCCTTCGACTTCACCTATTCAGTGATGCCTTGTGCCAGAACATTCAGCTTGAAGAGGCAAAAAGCACAGCGTGTGTTCACTTTCGCTTGTGCTGCAGGGCTGCATGAAGTCGGGCGAAGTTGTGACCGACCCCAAGAGAGCCTGGTACGAGCCGCAACACTACCGCTTCGGCGACCCCATCGGCAGCGACAAGAAGTTGTCCTACCCGCGGCACGCCCACACCCAGGCACGGATGAACGCACGAACTTCATTTGCGATGAGTTGTGTCTTATTAGCAAGAATATTTATAACAATATTGTCATGAGCGAATCAGGGGCGAGCACAAACGAACGCGTTTTTCGCGTTCACGTTAACGTTTGGGCTGAAACGTCAGTGGAATGTGAGCCACACGTTCGCGCTCCCGTTTTGTAAACCCAAATGCAGGCAATGCGTTTACGTTCACGTTTTTGAAACCCGGCACATGCTCACGGTTCCGTTCCGGAAACCCAAACGCACTGTGAACGTTTTGCGTTCGCATTTCGACAGTTCGGACATTCGCCTCACACGCTTGTGCTACCGCTTGATAGATCAAACGCACAGTACACTTTTGATTTACTGTCCAACCGCAAATGCACAAACGTGTGGACAGGAAAGGTGGACATATGCGAACCTGTTACTGTCCCGCGGGTGTGCCAAAGCGGCGGGTGGGTGTGGTCGAGCCAAATTGGTGTGGTGCCCTTTGATGAATTGTCAAGGCATCACTGCTGCGTTGGCTTTGGGTGTCGATTGCTGCCAAGGACACTGCCAAACTCACGAGACCTGCAAATTGTTGCGGATGCCCGGCCGCAGGTCTCGTTTCTTGAAGCTGTGGAAACGCGAGCGCTGCTCAATGTTCGCGTCAACGTTTCCGTCGCTGAAACGTTTGGTCCATGTCCACGTTTCCGTTTTGGAGACCCGAACGCACTGGGCACGTCGACGTTCCCGTCTCGGCAACCCAAACGTATGGCAGACATTCACGTTTTGGCTTTGAAACCTGAGACGTACTGCCAACGTTCACGTGGCCGTTCCTGAAACCCAACCGCACCACACACGTTCGCGTTTCCATTTGAGCGGCATACGCCCACCCCTGGAATGAATGAAATACAGAGAGCCAGCCGAATGCAGTGGCTCACTATCCTTGCTGGTACCTCACTGGCGTGCTGCAGACAGTGCACACTGAGTATGCAATTTATTTGCTTGCGGTCACGAGTCCTGCCCCTCGGATCATCGGAAAGTCGTGGCAGGCGAATTGGTGGAAGTCTCCTTCCGTTCCCATTTTGCTCATGTCTTGCCGCAATGCGGTCTTGTTTTTGCCCTCGTTCCCTGTTTCAAAAGTCCCCGCCATCATGGCAATTGCTGCAGTGTAAAAATTGGGGTTTGCACCAAGACGGGAGCAGCCGCTCCAATGCATCTGCCTCCCACTCTCTACACAAGTGCGTTGTGTTTCTCTTCATATGAGAACAACCATCTGGGCCGAAATTGTGCTGGTGCTGCGTTCCGCCCAGTCCTCGAGCACCGCACTCCAGTACTGACAATGCCGCTACTGCTGCGATCATTGCCCTTCTCAAGCCATCATTGTCGCCATTGCAATTGCCAGCGCTGTGCGACATTGTTGCCAGGCGCAGATGGCTATGATTAACAGTTCATATGCTCCATACCGACGTCTCAAGTTAATTGCATTTTACCCTTTCAGTTTCATGACAATTTTATTGCGCCCACTCAGGTCTTCGGCCTCTCCCGCAACGTGGCCAAGTACCTCGGCCAGAACGCGGACGTGATGCACGGCTACGCCCACGATGACGTCACCGTGGGCGCCTGGCTGCTTGGCCTGGACGTGGAGTTCAAGGACGAGGGGCGGCTGTGCTGCGGGGAGTGCAGGGGGGATGACAAGTCGCGGGCGTGCATATCGTTCTTCCAGACAGGCTGCTCCGGCGTGTGCAGCCCAGAGACCAAGGTGATGAAAATATTCGAGACTTGCGCAAAGTCCAGGGGGTGAGATTTGTTACAAAGGGTAAAATTTCTTACAAAGGGGAATAGAAAGGGACCATGCGTAAGGCAACCCATCCTGGCCAAGTTTAGGGTAGACTCTTTTTGCACGAAAGTCAGGGGGAGGTAAAATTTGTTACAAAGAGGGAAGGAAAACACGTCGTGCAGAGGGCACCCCCGTCCAGGCAAGTGCAGGCGAGACTTCCTTCCATGAACGTGGGGTGGCAGGTAGAGGGGGCGGTTTGTTTGGGGATTGTGTAATTCATTGATCACGCTGTGGAACAGCGAGGAGACACAGCCTTGATTTGTGGGGCGATGGTGGGCATGTGGTTGCACTGGGAACTTCCAGAACGCGATCTCCATAAGAGCCAAAGTCTGGAATAATGTTCGGGGCTTGCGAGTGAGTGGAAGGGAGGGATGGGCATTGGCGCTGGAGGTGTTGTTGCGGGAACGGCAGTGGGGGTCGGTGGTGAGAGGTTGCGGGTCGACGACGAGGGCATGAGGAAGTGGCTGGCAAGGGGCCAAGGGCGGGGGCACATTCGGGAAATGGAGGGTGGAACGGGAGGGCGCCCATTTGGCCCACGGTGGCCGTGGCAGGGCGATGCGGACTCCAGTCTTTGGTGCTTCGTGCCGGCTCTCTGAGTGGCTTCGGCGCCAACCCTTTCATCGTGTTCGTTGAAAAGTGGCGAGGAAGCGCAGGTGCAACCTTTGGGCGACGGCAGGCCCAACCCCATCCATTCTGTCTGTTACGAGTGTCGTGTCCTTCATCTCTTGGAGCAAAAATCATCTTCTGAACGACGACGACGCATAAAGGACCCCGCCTTGGAGGGATAGCAGATGTGCCCTTCTCGGCAGCTATGTTGCTGCTACTTTCAGTACTTTAGCAGCACGTGCGACAGCACTTGGTGTGGGAGTGAATGCGGGGGCCCATGCAGGTAGGTGATGCGCTTGTCTAGTTTAGGATAGCAAACGGGTTTTAGGGTCAGGGGGATGTTAGTCTCATGTGGGCGGGCGAAACGGGCATGCTTTAGGCCCTTGTGCCTGTGAATGAGTGGTCATGAATGCCATGGGGTTTGCAATAGGGGAGGAAAGAAGGGGCTCATGTTTAGTGTCGAGGGAGCGCAGGGTGGTGGCCCACCGGCTGTGGGAGAGTCTCAGCTTTTCGTCCATTCAAGCACCTTTTTCGGCACCCAAAGAACAAGGTGTGTTGTGTGCTCTTCTCCATTGAAAACAGGTCCAGAAACCTTGTCGCGCTGGCCGCCTGGGTCCTGAGCTTTTCCATGCCTGGCAGGCGCCGACGAAAGAAGAGCGCCATATCTGGCAAAAAGAGGCGCCACAACATTTCTCAATTGAGTGCCAAGAGCGAACTCGGCAGCGACACCAGTACGTGACCAGTCACACGCGACATGTTATGTATGCCACAATGATCGCAAGCCTGGTGCCACATCACTTTTCCTCCTTGAATTTATGTCACACTCTCTCACAATGCACTCCCCCGTCCTCACCACAACGCGCACCACAGCCTGCACGTCCAGAGTATCAAGCAAACATTACACGCAACTACACTGGGAGGCTACTTGGCGGGGTGTGTGCTCGTTTTGGCGTGCCTGGCGTGTGGCTGACCAGTGCCACACATTTTGGCAAGAGGTAGCCACAAACCCCGGTATTCGTGGCTCGGTACAGTCGTGCAACGCCAAGGTGCCGAAGGTAGGTGTCGCACAGTTTTTACGCTACTTCCTGCAGTCGGACACGTCCGAGTGCAGAAAGTAGCGTGAAAACTGTGCGAGATGTGCTTAGGTGTACACCCGTGCACATCTCCGAACGTGGACGGTTGGCCACCTAATGAATGATGCGAACTCGGGTCCAGAAACCTTACGTATCGCAAGAGGGCGGCCGTATGCTCCTTGTTTTCCCCCCTGAAAGTGACTTCACTCGCTGTTGACTGAAACAGCACAGCGCTGAAATCCCTCTGAGCGCCGAGACGAGTCGCCTCAAGGCGGCACTGACCCTCCCGTGTCTTCCTCACCAGTTGCATGTTCTGACACATTGGTTCTTCCTCTGCCACCAGCCATCCAGTCTTGGACAGAGCCGCGCTGCAACTGCCCGCACCAACGCACGCACGACGGCCACGTACGGTTCGGTCTCAACCGCTCCCCCGAATGGGTAGAGTTTCCCACACCCCACTTGGACCCACGTCGTTCCAAACTCCCCACCCCACAGCCCGCCGGGGCCAACCAGCCACCACACTTGAGCTGGCTCTGCGACCGCCCCGCCCCGCACAAAACGTCCGGAGGCCAGTCCCGGCGAGGCGCGCTTTCCTACAGTCCGGGCCGACACAACTCGACATGGAGCACGCAAACGGGCAGCCGACCTGCAGGCAGCGGCCACCCTCCGCCCTTCGAGCGGGCATCGGCACCGGCTCGCTGCGCACGATGCACCGGGTTGAAAACCAGCTGGAGCGAAGCAATGCTTTACCGCCGATCAGTCGGTCAGGAGCGACCGATAGGTAAATGAGTAGGGTCCCGGAGGGCCGACGACGCCCGCTCCGACACGTCGAAGCGCTCCGCCTTGTCGGACCGACAGTGTTGGGAGCCTTGAATCGAGAGGACCCGCTTTGACATTGTGTTATGGGTGACGTGGTGTACCAAAACTGACAGTGCGCGTTGCACACTCTCAAGGGAGGTGGAGGGGATAGTTGCGCATTGCGCGATTTCAGGCCTCCCCTCCCTCGGGTGTTCTTCAGGCTTGATTTGCTCGCCCTGTGCAAATGTCTTGCAGCAACTTGCATGTCAGTTCCGGGAAGTCGAATCTATCGGTCAACACTACAGACCGAAGTCAAAGAGGTCGCCGTCTCTCTTGCACTTCACTTTAGGAAACACCAAACACCAAGGACCAAACACTGCCCGACATCGCCAGCTTGGTGACAGGGCTTGCGCTGTCATGATTCTGGCAAACGTAATTGCAACGGATTAAAAAATAGGAAAGAAGACGGTCGTTAGCCACCTAATCTGCCGCCCCCAAAACAGTGTACATGGCTCGTATGTTGCCATGTCAAATACTGCATCCATGAAATCTAGATTTCGTTTCCGTAGAAATTAGTTCCTTTTCTTCTAGATATTTTGGAGGCATCGCAGTGAAATGAGAGTCTTTGCAAGAAGAATACCATGGGACACAGCCACAAAATGAGATTGGGCATTGCCAAGGCATTTCTTGTCTTCGTTCTGAACATTGAGCGAGTGAGTGACCGCTCCAGGTGACGTCAGCTTCATGCTCGCCACTGGAAAAATTAGTGCCAATACGATATTCACCGCTCAAGGCACCTCAGAAACGGGAAAATCTGAAAATTCATGAATGATCAACGTCTCAGAATGCACTGTCCATGTGAACACATCGAAGGGCGCGTCCTTGCAAGAAGCCAGCGGAAGCAGAATTAGAAACTGCTGTTCGATTCACACCTTTTTGTGTCACGTTGTTCCGACAAAACACGCCCCCCCAATTTGCTCAATCGGACCAGTGTCAATGAGCCCAACAATGGTGACTCAATATTGGCTTTCCAGTCTCCAATTTATGGGTATGAAATCGCATAAATCACCGGAAGCCACTGTGGGATATGCGTACCTTCAGATGCTTTGAAAGCTGACGATGGTGGGGTGGTATGCCTTTAGGAAGTTGAGCTGTGGACGGTGGCCGAGCACAATGTTCTGTGGAGACATAGCGGGGACAAGCAGCCGGGCAAACTACTCGAGGGACTTGCTGCGCAACACTCTGGACGTCCGGGACATCACGGTGAGCTCAGACATGGAATTAACTATCTTGTTAATGGGTTTCTGCGAAGGGCGACGATTGGGAGGGCGCGCAACGGCCAGGTCGGGCCGTTCCGCCTTTTGGACAGTTTGGGGCCAGTCGTAAGCCGGTTTCTGTCACCCTTGTACTCGGGGTCAGTGCTGCCCGACGTATCCAAGGGAGCTTGGGTTGAACCTTGTACTTTGGGCGCAGCCAAGGGGACCGGTCAAGCTGGCCCTTGGGTTTGGCGGGGAGTTTGGCGGCAAGTGGGAGTGCTATTTCAGGCGCGACCCTTGGCGCCCCCCTTATCTTGTTTCGCTTCGCGCCAACACTTTGGCACAACCCGGAACCACCGAGTGGTTCGACCTTCCGGCCTTCGCGCCGAGTCCTTTCTGTATGAACCCCAGCCCTGCCAAACAGTGGCTGCGGGCACTGGCGCTTCGTTTCAACCAGCGCCTCCCTGACCGTCCTAATGATGTCACGTGGGTTTCCGACCCCCGGTTACTCCCCCGCTCAGTCAACAACCGGGTCGCCAGGCCGGACTTTACGTCTTTCCCAGCCTGGTTCGACGTACGGGAGACCGGCCAGGGCCAGACCGTCGCCGCGGCCTTGGGACCCAACTCCGGCTACTTCCAGGAGTACGCGAGCTGGGCGCCGTGGGTCGCGTGGCAGTTCGACTTTGCGGCGTGCTTCGTGGACCTTGTCGCCCATCCGAGTCTACCGCCTTCGATCCGTGATCTTCTCCTGCCGTACGTTTACGCCTCGGTGGCCATTACCGAGCGGCAGGTCGACCAGCTGCGCCTCCATCAGGTGCACGCGAAGCATCGAGGCACCGGGCTCGAGGGATCCTGGCGGGCTCTACAGGCCCAGATCCGCCTCAGCGAGCCCGAAGGCGGCTTCACCACCGACACCATCGACGGGACGCTCGGTGCCATTCGCAAGGAGCTCCTCACCCAGGAGGTCAAGCTTGCGACCAAGGCGGCCGCGGCCAGCCGGGCGTCCAAGGCAGGGAGCGGCGATCCTCCTCCCCATTCGAGCGGCCCGTCGGGGAAGCGGGGCAAGAGGCGCAATCCCCCTCAAGCGGCGCGTCCACCTCCGGACGCGTGACCGACTTCCCGTATAATCGCACCCGCGGACGCCTCTCAGCATGGCGGAGGATTGGAGCGCCATCGCACGTTCTTCAATGGATCCATTCGGGCGTCCCGCTCCCCTGGGGACCGCAGGGAC